CCGCGGGATACCGGGTTACTTCACGGATATCAAAATTGTCGGGATTTAACGATTAAACCAGCCCCTCTCTCCACTATCAGAAGCTTAACGCTGTCGACTCTTGACTGTCGACCCTTGACAAGCTGCACGTACTCGTGGCTGGCTCGATTGTAATCGATAATAATTGTTAAGATGTGGTTAAAATATCAATATCAGTTTCATTAATAAAACCGGGATACCTACACAGAGGAATAAAAAAACGTAGCGGAACACATACAGATGAATATTCATTGGAGATAGGAAAAAAATCCGATTAATTTCAGTACAAGAGGTCAATAAAACGAAAATTATGTTCACTGTGTAATCAGGCAGGTTGCAATTAATGGTCGAAAGAATGATGAAAAGATAAATATAGAGCGTTTGACTGTGGGAAGTGGGCGATTGTACCTGCGTGATAAAAAGAGCCGGGGATGAGTCTCGGGGGAAGGACAAACGGAGAAGCTTAATTGAATCTACCATGTTCATTCGCGTTGATTAATTCAGTTCGATCACCACAATGGGATATAATTATTTCATGCCGTAGTGCTCGAAGGGATACCGCCGCGTAACGGTTATCCTGTCCTGTATCCGATTCTAATAATCATTTGCGAGCTGCTACGTTGGGATATCATATGCAAAGCAACAGACATAAATACGTGCAACGATCGTAGATTCTCGCCTTGTATCAAACACGCTCGATTATCCTTATCAAATGAATATTCGCTACAGAAATGTCCATTTAATTAAATGCCATAAGGTTTCTTTTATTTTCATTGCGTCCCTCAAAATATACGGGACATCACATACTTCAATTACCAAATTTTATGGAGCTGCTTTTGTTCGTGGTAATAACACGGTAGAATTCAATTTAATTTATTATTTACTCTTCACGCTAATTAATGTATAATAAATGCGGCCGTGTGTTATATTAATATCTCCACGCATTTACCTTTCAGGACTTTGTTTCGCTCGGTTATAGGTGCGTGTTTAACGACGAATAGTTACCATCAACGATTCACAGGAGACCGCAATTTTAACAAATACATCGAATAACAATTAATTTGATATCATACAAATACCGACGAGTCAAAGCCCGTTTATGGAATGTACGCGCGTGTACGCAACGAAACTGGAATGTAATGGGCGCTTTTCGTCCTGATTATTATCCATGACGTGCCGGGTATTTGTTGTTCTCGGTAACAAACGTGCAATAATAGGTAGCCCACCCGTTCCCATCGGCAAATAGAACAACTAACTGCATATGATAAGCACGATTACGCTCTCCACCCGCTATGCCAGGTCGGCCACTCGTAGGCGATGGATCTCGAACACTTCACTGATCCCGTTTATCGGAATCGATATACTACTGTCTCTGATAAATGACCATCCGGCCTTTTGCTGATCGAGCGCGTTTCGGTTAATACGTTCAGCTCAGAAGACTATGCACGATCCCTATACCGATTCTGCTTCGGAGGGTGCGCAACGTAAAGCGCTTTAAAGCGTGCTGCGAGATTGAAGTGAAAGATTTACCGCGAATCAATTTCATAGCTGATCGAACCCAACGATACAGCGGGGATGGAAAAAGCATTGAGGATATCGGCATGGGGATTATTAAGGGAGGGTGACGCGTTGTCTGTGACGTAGAAACATTATGAGGTTCATCAGGATATACGCTGAAATGTTTCTTTTTTCAAAAAAAAAAGACTGCAATAAATCAGTAAAATTTGGTTATAAATCTCATAACGTGACGAATTTCATTTTACTCTGCGTAGATTACTTTAATGAGAATTCGTCGATCGATCGACCGATCGGTTATGTCCGCTTTTAATTTTATGATTATCGAAATGGTAATTGGTTGTCGACAGAATGTGACGACGTTAAAACGACGGAGAAATCAAATTTTCGTGTCGGCATAAAGAGAGAATGCGCGCGCGGAGGATTTCATAATTTATTTCGCGTCGCCGCGAAACAAATTTACGCGGCAATTTAATTTGGCACGCGCGTATCAGCGATTATTTCGCGAATCCACTGGATCCGCCGGCGAGTGTACCGGGGCATCCGAAACGAGTGTTCATCAGCCGGTGCAACTGCCGGATATTGCAGAAGCACGCTCTCGCAGCTTGTGGTACGTGGATACGGACATATGGATACGGAGAGAAGTGAAACCGGGACGTCTAATCTCCCAGTACAGTAGATAACTTGGAGAAGACAATCTAACTATCTTGCTCACGTACGGAACAATGGCCTAACTAAAGGGATAGCCAAAGGCTTCCGGGGCAGACATACAAGTCGAAGTCCGTCGGAGAAGTATTGTCCCTCACGTATCGTAAGTCCGCCTGCTCTACTCACAAGCTAAGATGAACAGATCGTGTAGAGTACAATCCCTTTCCCTCTCACCCTCTCAAAATACGTATTTTGGGAAATACCGTTAGAATGTGATAATAACATTGCGAACGAATCTTCAAGTAAATTTTCATGGTTTCATAAACAGATTATAACAAAAATCAGTTCTTCGTCCTTAATTCTTTCGTTTAACACTTCTTTTCGAGAAACAGAATTTCTGAAAATTCTAAGAAATTAGATAGAAAAACGTTTATGGCTCAAACTACAAATTGTATTATACACCTGAAGGAAAATTTGTTCACAGTAGAAGCACGGGACCCTAAATACTCGAGCACATCTGCTTTAATTTTAATTTAAGACTGAAAAGAAAGAGCGTCGCCTAAATGAAGCAACACCGTCGTCACGATCGGCATCTCGCTTTACATGCCGGAAAACTTTTTGCCATTACCGGATAGAGGATGGGGGGAGTGGGAGCAAAAATTGTACCGGATCCCGATTAATTTGTGTCCCCGTTCACCAGGAGAGCACGATGTAGCGTCTGGCCCGCGCACGTATCTGAATAAAACATCGCCGGATCCAACGGGTAGGTAACTAAATTTTAAGCAATGGTACGACACCGCAACAGCGACCTTCTCAAAGTTCAACGACACGCCGCGCTGTACCGTCGGCAGATCGGCTACCGGGACGCGACTTGTAGCGTTCTGGTTTGGAGATACGGCAAAATAATAATTGTAAATCGCAAATATGGCCCTCGATATCGGAAGGGAACGATCGTGGATTACGATCAACTTCCCGAACTTCTTTCTCCCTTTCCCTCCACTAAATTATACGGTAAGAGGAGACTTCGCTTAGAAAGGACGAGGAATCGAGCGCGAGGGTAAAACCTCGAGTGTTTCCTACGGTCGAAGTGCTCGAACAAAATGATAAAGAGGGTCAGCGAGAGGACCACGATGCACCGTTGACTTCTTCATTAATGGTAATGATCGCGTCCTGAAAGTCTTCGGGAAACTCGCGAACGGAAACATCGCGATTTGTATTCAGGACGCGATATGACGTTGCTACGTAGCCTGGAACCAGGGTTCGAGCCAAGCCGGGGTGGTATGGGTGGATTCGCGAAATAAACTCCTGAACAAGATGGAGAAAGAGGGTAGAAACGGGAAGCGAGGGGCAAGACGAGAGCGAGGAAGGGGTTGGTGGCAGCGGTAGTAGACTCTTGCGCTCCAGTTCGACTTCCGACAATAAAAGTGAGCTAAGACCACGCACACGCGAGCACAGTAACATCGTTCGTCGGTGAACGTACACGAGGGGTTGCTTGTGAGTCTATCTGGGTTCCGCCACGTGGACCACACGAGGATGCCTCTTTGGAGACTTTATTTGGCGACGTCGTTCGCTCCTCGCCGTCTCATTGCTCGCAATAATCGAACGAAATCGAGAACGAATGATAATTTCCTCGAGGATGTCACGGGCAGACCGTATCATGGAGCATATAACCACGACACCCGATAGTATGAAGATACATATTGTCATTGATCGCGATGAACGATAAGCATCGTAGGAAAGGGGTTGAGGAACGCGGAGTAGAGATAAGAGGAAAGTCAATGTATACGCGGCGCGAAGATGCGAGCGCAGGTGCGCAAACATAATGCAATTCAGGTCCGCTTTTATTTAACAGTGACTTCCCTCCAACGCAGGAATTAAAAGCGAATTACATATCTCGCAGTTCGTTTAAATAAAATCTCTTAACGAAAAGGGGTAATGCGGCCGACATACCAGCTGGGCACTAAACGTTGTCGTTGTGTAATTAAAGAAAATATGGAAACACGTGGTGTCCTCCACGCGGCGCGATCGTCTCTCTTTCGCGGATAGATCTCTTTCACCGCAGCCAGCGCGGTGTGTATTGTGCCTCGACGCCGCTTACATGAGCGGGCTTAAACGCACGCGAGTATATCTACAGACGGAACCCGCGGTGCGTGTTGTGCCACGAGCAGAGAGAAACCGCTTTCGAGATACCCGCCGCGCCGCGGCGCAAACTCTTGAGCAAACGTACTTAGGTGGTTCACCGTGGCTAAAGGTTAAACGTCGGCTCTCGTTGATACCTTTCTTCTTCCCGAGTAAATGTAATTAAAAATACTCGCTTGGTTAATTTCCAAACGGGACCAGAACTCGCTCTCAAACCGCGTTATCACCGAAAAATTTTCGTTAATGGCAAGTATACATGAGCGAGTAGCGGAGAAATTTTTAACTGTTGAATTAGTCGTGTTCGGGCGAAAGTAAACGTTGAAAGAAAAAAGTTATATTACTATGAATCTTCTCTCTCTCTCTCGAAAGTAAAGATACGATTATTCGAACGCGATAATGACCAGGAAGAAGCTTATTTGAAAGTATCGTTTAATATCCGAAGTGTCATTCATTTATAGACGTTCTGATAGAAAGAATCACGTGAAACCAGATGTTATGTTATTTTCAGCGGATGGCAAATCTTGTAGGAGACTGACGAATCTAAAAGGAACTTAGTAGTTTCTCATGTTCGGACCAAAAATGTGTAACGCTCACAAAAGCACGGTGTCAGATATCAAATGACGTGTACGTGGTTTTGGATATTTTTCAAATAACTGAGGACGACACTTATATTTTAGTTTGTTGGCCGCTGCGGTATCGGTTAGCTTAAAGCCGAAACGCTGGTCATCGTCTCGTTGGTTCATGCCCTCTCACGGGATTAGTCAAATCCCAAAATAATACCGTGGGCGAGAATGAAGTTTGCATATATGATACAAATCTCTGTGACAATACATGTAAAACTTTCACGTGATCTATTAATTAACTGTGACACTTTATCGTAGTATTCAATTATTTATATGACACTATTTATATGTATCCAATTTTCGTTTTAATACTCAAGCCAAAGTTTCAGTGGAAATTAAAACCGAATCATGTCGAGAATTTGAAATCCTTTTTGATACAAAGTGCATTGATTGAATAATTGAATAGCATTATTTCTACGAGCCATCGGTATAATCCGTTAACTTATTCTGCATTAAAAATAGTACAAGTTATCCAATAACACGAAGTCAGGCAAGAGTGTTTTGACAGTAAACTACAATTTTACTCTGAGACAGTCGTCCGGTAGAAGTTCGAGAACGAAATACGGGGTAAAATATAGATTCCGGGTTTAAGTGGTGGGGATTACGGTCTGTAAGGGCAGGAATATTAAAGTTGAGGGTGACGGTTAAAAAATGATACAGCTATGAGTCAAAGAGTGAAAAATCACAAGTTGGTGAAATTTCGGCGTAAAAAGCTGGAGGTAGGGTGCCTGTATCCAATTTCCAATACTAATTAATTTAGAATACAACACCGTAAGAATATTCATCAACGAGTTACGAACGATCTCGTACGGCACAGCGCGTATTCCTCTGTTTTGATTTCGAACAGCGGGCCGCGCAGACAGCGAGAGTAGATTTGAAAATAACCCATGGCAGGAGAAGGCCTGTCTATTAATAGTGGACCGGAGAGTATCTTTGTCGCGCGTGCTTCGGCAGCGTCTCCGACGGTTTCGCAGCGAAATTCGTCAGTGGATTTACCGTTCCGCGATACATTCTTCGCACGTACACGTCGCACGAAACCGCGTAACTCAATCGGAACACGATGTTACGCACAAGTTTGTCTCCGTACTCGGCGACCGTCGTTACCTGTTAAACCCGATGGCGTTGATGGATGGGATCGAAGCATCGCGAAATTAGATACCAGAGCCGGAGGACAGGTTGGATTAGGAAGAGGACAAAAGCGGAACGGTGACACAGAGTGTGAGAAATTACTCTAAGAATCATTCGGAGGTTGCATGGGAGATTGCCCTTTACCAATAGAGACGAACTGGAAGGAAGTTAAAACTACACATTCGAGTGAATCTAAATAAAGAACTATGCGAGGCAGTGGATGAGCAGTGGGGCGGAGCTGGCTGCGAGAGGGAATATGCGGTGAGTAAGAATGGTACAGCGAACCGCATGCAGCATCGAGGCGAATACATTCCCCAATGGCGTACGGATCAGCGACCGCGAAGGAAGAACGTCGGACGTTGCCGCGGCGGAAACGTCCGCAGAGCACGTAGCGCGGAACGTACAAGAGGGACGCGGTAACACGAGGTTCTCGTTATTCAAGTGGTTCAAACGATCCGGTAATCGCGAGTCGACGGTGGACAAGCGACGAAAGACCATCGACAGATACGAAGAGGATGAAACCGGACGGCGGCGGAGCGTATCGTCGAGCGTGGAGAGTGTAGACACGTTTTACAGTACCACCACTGTTCGCAGTTTCGCGTTTCACACGGGCACGCTCGGCAAATGCGATGGACTGTCGTTAGACATCCTCGAGCAAGCTGCCGAAGTTGGTCCATTCGCGGCTGGAGCCACAAAGGTCGCAGTTGGCAATAAAGAGAACGAACCGGTGGATGTTGCTTCCACGTTGCCTGCGAACGCTCATTCTCATCATAGAGACATAACTGCCAGATACTCGCTGCAACCCTCGTCCACGTTTAACTCCTACAGCCACCTAACTGACAGACGACTGTTCGAATCGTTAAAGAGACTAGACGATCGTAAAGCTCATTATAACGTGAATTCTGCGCGAAGAAGGGTGCACGTGAAGGGCAAGCGACGAGCACCAAATCCTCCCGTAACTTCGATTAAGGCAACCGAGGTAGATGATCGCGAAATACCGAAGAACAGCGGCAGGCGAAAGCGACGCGCACCGAAACCGCCGGAGAGGAACGTTGACGGTGATTCGTCCGCGAAAAAGTGCGAACCTCAAGTTACCGATGGCGGAATGGACGTAGAAGCGCGACAAGAGGACGCGCAAACTCTCAGCAACGACACGCTAATGCTTCAAGGTGGTGTTCTGTTATCGAGAAGAGAGCCTAAGCAGAGTGCGAAGGAGAAGAACGCCGCCTCGTCGGACATCCTTCAGGATAATCAGACTGTGATCCCTAGCATCGGAACTCTGAGCACAGCCATGCCACGACCTTGGTACAAACGAAGCGTTTTCGAACATTCTCGGGATTCCGGAGCGTCTAGGAAGGGAGACGTTCTACGAGGGCCAACGAGCTCGACGTTTGAAATGAAAGAAGACTGCATCCCGGCGAGCGCAGCTCCTTCCACGAATTATTCTATGGACGCGTCTTTGTCTAGATTGAGTTTCTTTCATCGCGGTGGACACGCGGAGGACAGGAAGAAGGATGCGAAACGAAAGTCCGGCTTGTCGATTCTGACTAACATCAGCGAACTTGACAAAGAAGCCGCAGCGATCGTACAAGAGGAACAGGCGCGCGCTAGGGCCTCGATGCTGTTAAAAACATCGAGATTCGTGGACGCGTTCGAAAAAAGAAACGAGATGAACGAGGAGCTCGTTCAAGACATCGTCACCTCTGCGATGGAGAGTTCGTCGCCCAGGCGCGGCACGCGGGCTCTGATCTCCAAGTTCAACGCCATTAGCAACATTACCAAGGTCACGGTAAATGCAAATTTCTTCGCGAAGAACGCCAGGGATCATCAACCGTCGAAATTCGATCGAGATGTAGTGAGAAACGCGAGAGGCATTGATCACACCAGTGATTGGAAGGATCATTCAAAATTTCCCGTGCAATCTACCAGCAGGCAAAGTAGTCACATCGACAAAGATATTTCTAGATATTTTCCACAACAACAAAACATAACTAGGAATAAGCTGGATAACGCAGACTTGGGGTCTAAAGTTTCGGGAACAAAGAATAGAGAACAGAACGATCGATTGGCTACTGAAACTTCCAACAGAATATCATTTTTGCAAAGCCAACTGGCTGCGAATCGTATGAATGAACGAATTTCTCAGCGAAACGACGTCGCGTCTGTAACACAAGAGAAGATTAAATCAACACAGAAAGTTGGCGAAAGAAAGGAAAGAGAAACCAAAACGAAGAGTGAGTCTCCGCGAGGATACTTTTCTACTCGTGATTCTACAGGGAACAAGCAACACGTGACATCGAATATCTTCGAAGAACCGAGAAAGTTGGATAAGCGACGCTTCGATGGTGTGCAGAAAGAGTTCTCGGACATATTCGACGAGATCGACAAGCAGTTGCGTATGAAAGAGTTTAAATTCATCGATCGGGAGTCTGCTCGCGGCAGCAATGCCGCCACTAATCAGGGAACTAAAGTTCACGAGGAAGAGGAAGCTGGAATATCAAGTAAGGTAACGAAAGTACTCGATATCCTTGTAGAGGCGGAGAAAGATGCGAAGATAAAGAGCGACGCGCAGCCGGGGAGATCGATACTCGTTGCGGATGCCGGTCGTTCAACCGATCTGAGAACGAAATCGGGTAAGACCAGGTCGCCGTTATTGAACACTATCGAGGATCCGATTACAACGGATTTGAAGGAGATGTTGAAGGAAATGAAACACTCGTTACCAAAGCGTTCGAAGCCAGGGAAAACTATGACACATAACATCGACATGACGGAGAGACCAGCTGCAGGGAAGGAAACGGCGACCGGTCCTTCCGGCAAGACTACGTATTTTGTTTCTGCGGTAACGAAAGTTGAGAATATCGCTCTGCAGAATGATTACGAGCTAGATAAACAGAAGGTATCATGTTCGGTGCAAACGAGCGGAAATGTACGAAGATTGAATCAAACCCCCGCGTCGCGGCCATCCACCTCGGGATGGAAGGAGGAGAACGTTTTGTACAAGACGTCCGGGAAAAACTTGGGCGGTTCTGGACTGGTGAAGAATACGTTTCAGTTGATACGGCCGAGGGATTTCGCCGAAATCGAAGCGACAAAAACGACGAGAACCCACTTGAACGAAAACACTTACGCGAATGTGATCGAGCAATCGATCTACGCGAACGCTCATGTTCCACCCTCGCCAAAACAACGTGCCGTTCCTGCAAGAAGTGGCGTTACGAAAATTGGTAACGTCGATGAAGTACCGAAAGTTCCTTCGACGAATGAACAGAAATTAGACGTTAACGAAGACGTAGTTGGAGACAGCGAAGAAGGTAATGGTTTCATTGACAATTGTTAAAAATAGTTTCGGAGACACAGATTCCTTTGTATGAATCATCTGTCCAAATTTAATCCTTAATATCAAGCGTTCTTGTTACTAGTATATTAATGTTTACGCTGTTCATCGCAGATGATAGTACATCGGGTAAGAACATGAATACGCTCGCCATAAACCGATTACTTAGAAAGTTAGAAGCGGCAATTGCATCGGGCCACCATCAACAAGCGGCAGGTTTAGCCAAGGAGCTAGCACGGCTTAAGATCCATTGTTCCGTGATTCGACAACGATCAGCTCGTCTCAAAGATCAGTTGATTAAAGTCAATATGTACATTGAAGACAAGCTTGCTCACCAGGGACCGATACCACTCCAGGTAAATAGTGCTACTCAAATCAGGGTAACTGGGGTTTGCCAATTCATATGATGATATTAGATGCTATACTAAGCCGGAATATAATAACAGCTACCGAGTAGGATGACAGTGGCCGAGTTGAAGGCGAAAATACACACGGAATTCGAGATACCGACAAACGTGCAACGATGGATCATTGGTAAAAATTTGGCCGATCGCGACGACGCGACTCTTAATGAATTACAGGCTGTAAATGGATCTCCAATATTTTTGTACCTCGTGGCACCAGGTGAATAAACAAAAATCAAATTTCAGTGAAACAAGCACAATATAAAAATGTATTCATAAGCAATATTATTTCAAATAATGTTTACGTATTATTTATAAATTATTTTTGTATACATATGTACCAATCCATTTCTCTTAATTAGCATTTTTTCATTTCAATGTAGAACTAAGATCTAAAAATGCGGTACAAGTGGAAAAAGATGAAGAGATAGAAGAAGCACCGAGCGTAATAAACGATGATGCCAGTTCATCAACGAAAGTATTACAAATCGTTGAAGAAGATCATGAAGAAGTCGAAGAACCTCAGGTGAGATATGAATATAATGACATCAATATTCTTCAAAAATTTTAACAAATGTAATTGCTACTAGGAGGCAGATGAGAGAAACATACCAGAAGAGGTGAAGATGGACAGATACGAGGAATTAATTTCATTAGAAAATTGCGATGTTATACCAAACTCCGAGCCGATAGAATGTCCCGTATGCTTCGTTACATACGGTCCTCGTGAAGGAGTAATTTTGAGAGATTGCTTACATATGTTCTGCAGGTATTTTTTCATTATAACTTAATAGAAAGTTACACAGTTTTTGTACAAATTTGATCACCAATTTTTCTTAGGTCATGTATTGCTAATACAATTCGATACTGCGAAGAACCCGAAGTAAAATGTCCTTATAGAGATTCAGAATACACCTGTGAATCAACTCTCCAAGAGCGTGAAATTAAAGCAGTAAGTTGATCGTAGGAAATCGATATAGAAATGTTAAAAAAAAAATGTTTGACGTGTGTTTAGCTTGTCGAACCAGAGGTTTATCAGCAACATTTAGCGAAATCAATCGCTCAAGCGGAGAATAATGCTGGGAACAACGCGTTCCATTGTAAAACTCCCGATTGTCCCGGTTGGTGTATTTACGACGATGATGTGAACAATTTCCTGTGCCCTGTGTGTGGTAAAAACAATTGTCTCACTTGTCAGGTCAGTACGAGTTATATACATATTGTATTTCATTGATAAATATTCATTAATAAAATAATGAAAATTCTGAATATTCATATCATAGGCCATACACACTGGCAAGAACTGCAAACAGTATCAGCAAGAATTGAGATTATCGAAAGAAACAGATCAAGAATCACGAAGAACAGCCGAGATGCTCGAGGAAATGGTGGATAGAGGTGAAGCTCTCGCTTGTCCCACGTGTGCAGTTGTCTTGATGAAAAAATGGGGTTGCGATTGGTTGCGTTGTTCGATGTGCAAAACCGAGATATGTTGGGTGACCAGAGGTCCCCGTTGGGGCCCTGGAGTAAGTAACTGATACGAATCATGTGTTATTGAAAAAAGAAAATGCGTAGAACTATGATTATTTTATTTCTTTATCGATCATATTTCGGGGTTTTACAGGGAAAGGGGGACACATCTGGAGGCTGTAGGTGCGGAGAAAATGGAGTCAAGTGTCATCCTCGTTGCAATTACTGCCACTGAAAGCCGCCATACGATACAATTATTGCGAGGACGAACAATGGAAACAATAGAAACGAGGAAATGTAGTACAGTTGGTACACACATCTCGAGGCAAAATATTTTTTGTACAATTATTATCGATCGCACATGACTGGATGAGTCACTAGTCAAATGGCTTGATACGTATTTAATACTGTTTGATAACCGATAAAACTGATATCGGTAAGATACATACGTATACCTTATATACGTTGCTTGCTCAACTGTTAGCCTTATCGCGGAACCGTCCTTTAAGGAATTGGAAATAATGAGATAAAACGGCGAATATCTCGTTATTCAAACGATGGATCTAATAAAGGGCACAAGAAAATAAATTGTACTTCACTTAAAGCATCATGTGCATTATGAACTTTTAATAAATTATAGGTACAGATTGTTTTGCAATTATACAGGCACCGATTGCTTATTGCTTGTCTTTAGGATTTATCTCATTTGTACCGATCTGTTTCAATCGTGTCACCAGTGTTGATTGGTGGTGCGTCAGTTGTTGACTCAAGTTAACGCCGCCTGCACTTTGTAAGACTTGAACTAAACCGGATTGAGCTGTTGTGATGTCCATTGTTCCGTATCTCAGAAAATCATCAAATTTCAGCACCTTTCCTTCCAACATTCCCCCTGCAAAAAAATACAAGTCGGTTAAAATCGAATAAAATTATTCTACCATTACCCCCGTTACACAATAATTACCTAACGTGTACATTTTCCTGCATTTTTTAATTATCTTTTGCAAGGCAGTTACATTTATCTCAGGGCTGAATACAAACGCAGTCATATCACTGACTAGCGGGGCAAGACCTTCGTATGGTGAATCCTTAATGATGTAACGTACTAGGTAAGGATTATAGTATTTATAATACATGTTTGCTCTGTACAATGGAACTTGCACATCAAACTTATCTAATCCGCTCATGCTATTCACGTGCAAACAAGCTACCATTTTTGAAGTGTCAAACCAATTACGAGCCTCTCTCGCAATGATTTTATCATAAGGTCCGAGTTCTTTTTCCGTCTTACTGACATTTGCATTAAGACATAGTTCTTCCAATGTTTTGCCCTCGTTAGGATTGACGAAGAATGGTGTTAAAAGTTCATTCAATACTCTCTTTTTAAAAAATATTTTCGGTTTCCTAATATTTATCTTGCCCCTATAACGCTTCTGTTGGTATAATAATTGATTCGGCGTCAATTGAAATGCTGCAACAAAAAAAGTATATCATAGTTGCAGAAAATATAGATTACGTTTGTCATATTTAACAAAAATATTTACCATGTTTTTTTAAGACTGATAACACACTGCTTGTATCGAATTTAGAATGAATTTTTTATTATCAAAATGGAAGCATACTTCAAAAATGAACTTCGAGATTAATTCAATTTACACACTGCTTTTATTATATGCATAAGTGATTTTATTTTAAAAATAGATACATGATCGGTACGAATTGAAAACAAATACAAAAATGTATATATATGTATATATATATATACGTATATACAAAATAAATTTTTTGCTTGCAATGACGTAAGGCACTTTGGAATAAATCATACATATTTTAAGTATATACTATGTACGTGTACGCGCGCGTGCGATGAGTGTAAGACGTATATTTCGTGTATAATGTGTTTTCTAGGCTTTATGCACAAGTACATTTTTATCTATATGTGTATGTATATCTTTGAACTCCGCAGCTACGTTATAAATTCCCTTTCTCTATATTATGCAATATAATTAATGGTACCGCTACAATAATTACTGGATTCATGACGAGCTTCTATACTATCACCAAAATTGAGCGATTTTCTATTTTTTCCTAATCGAAGCATTGAACGTATGCCACCTTTCTTTCGCGAACGTTTGTATCGATCATCTAAAGCTGAATTAAGAGATGCTTGTTTGACATCCCCCCGACTATTTGGGAAACCCTCACGGTCATCCTTAAAATTATTGCTGCTCGTTATTTCGCCGTGCACGTCGTCCACGAGCCAGTGCTTCCTCGGTGATGTATACTTATTATTGCAACCGGGTATTGTGTACACATATTCCGACTGGGTAGGGTCTACAGATTTCTCATATCCTAAATTACGCTTCATACTACCATCGCTCACGACGCTACCCTCGGTAGTACTTTTGCTCTTAGTCTTTTCGTAATTTTCTGAAAATTTATGTCTGGTTTGCTCCTCCGAATCGGTCGATTGATTTACAGATTTTTTATTCGGCTGTTCTTGATTCTTGTTCTCACGTCCCTCTCGTAATTTTTTATTTCTCTTGTAGGTATCCGTATTCTTGGCATCTAACGCAGCGTGTCGTTTCTCCGACATGCTCTGTCTACCTAAAGCATCTCGAGAAAATTTGTTGCAGGAAGAATTGAATTCTTCCAAGGATAACTGACTATCATACGTTGGATCTCCAGAATACTGACTGTCTTTATCGTCCGTGTTACGTTTAGCTTCATTGTGTTGTGACTCATTGGAGTCTTCTAACAATACTGGTTCAGCACGATCTTCACGCTGCCCTATAGAAATTTTCTTCACGTTACTCGAGGGCTCTATCCACGTCTTATTGGTAGCGATGCAGTAACTTTCGTTCCTTAAGCTATTCTTATTATACTGTTCGGTTAATCTATCGATAACTGGATTCCATGGAGATGCCGTCACGCAAGATAATAACCCACCATTATCCAAGATATCGGTTTGAGAGTTTATGTTGTTCTTTTCCTTTATCCTACCTTCGCTACCTTTTGTAGAGTCTGATATGTATATACTGTTAACTGATTCTAGTTTACGAAGTGAAGGCACATTTTCAGGCAAATTTTTCTCATTTCCATCGTACGAAGATATCCTCCTAGCAATTGTAAGAGTGATAACTCCTGTTACAGAGCTGTTGGTATTGAGCATTGCTCTTCTAAGTGTTTCCATCGCGTCCGAGTTCGACAGTCCTAACAATGATACTCCGTTAACGTTGAGCAATTGATCATTGGTCCTCAATCTTCCATCCCTAGAAGCTGCTCCTCCGTGAATTACACTTTTAATAAAAATCCCCAAGTCCATGTTAGTATTTTCATCTGTATTTGTTGTCTTTCCCTTAACACTGACGCCTAATCCAGCTTTCTCTGAATCATGAACTGGTATATCTAACGTTAGTATCATGCGATTTTTTCGTGGCGATAAAACGATATCTTCTGTTGATGATTTTACTGGTTTGAATGCACATTTATCATAGCTATGGGTATTAATTTTATCTTGAATTTCAATATTCTTTTTTAATGGTGATGTGTTCGATGCGTTCCAATATTTTGCATTGTCTGTAGCCTCTGTTGGTTGACTCGTGGAAGTGACTTGAGAATCTGATTCTGGAATATTGGAAGAAATTTCTTCCTGGCGTGATACTACAATCCTTACCTTCCCACCAGATGGGATACTTCTTAACAGTGAGACCACTTCCGCTTGACTTTTACCTGTCATTTCTTTGTTATTAACTTCCAACAGCCTGTCGCCAGGCCTCAATCTGCCGTCCTCAACCGCAGCACCTTTTGGTAATATATTCTTAATATATATAGGACAATGACCTCCAGCTGGATTGTCACGTGTTGTGACACTAAATCCAAGACCATTACTGCCTTTTGTTAATTCTATTTCTATCATGCGTCCAATTTTGCGTGTGTTAGCAGTTTGCAGCAAATTATAATTGCTGCATTGAAGCTTTTTGATATTATCATCAATTTCCTTTTCTGATCCTCCACTGGTATTCCCATGATTTTTGTGTAATGATTTCTCGTGCGGTCTTTTATGTTTCACGACAGAAATTTGTAAACATGGTTCTGTCATGCAGGTACGAAAGATCTCCTGCACTTTGGAGAATGGTATGTGCAGCAGATTATGACCATTTATTTTAATGATCTTATCGTGCAAGTCAATCTGTCCATCTCTAGCAATTCTACCATTAGGCTCGATACCTTCGACTCTGAGTCCTTGATCATTGCCTAATAGATCGTAACATGGCACCACGTGTAGCCCCAGTGGCCCTGCTTCACTTTTTATTACAATGTCTCTAATTTCTCCTTGATCTCCTGATTCAAAATTAGCATTCCCATACTCAAATGACACTTTGGCATCTTGTCCCAATGGCTCCCTACGTCTAGATTCCCTGGGAAGGGACTGAGCAGAATACGCTGTCAAACATGGTTCTCTAGTTGACAGTGCATGCATTGACAATCTTTTGGTACTTTCTCTTTTGATACTGCTAATAGGTATAGAGGAATGTGTATCAATTCCGTAAGATGGTTCTTTAGAGTCTGGGTGGAAAAAGTCAGGGCTGTTTGTTCCAACAGAACTTGCCCCATCACCACCACCATGTGCAGCATCATTGTTCACAAAGTGAGCAACAATCTGCTCTCTATCATCAGCTACATCACATAACCTATCGTCTGGATCTAGGAGACCACCACCAGTTAAGGAGGATAAGCTGTTTATAGTTAATGAATTATCATTTTTTCCAGTTGCCTTTTTATACCTCAGGATAGCCTCGTGCATTAAATCTTTAACCAGTAGGGTTCCATCCCCGCAAGGAACCACCACTCGAACGTTGTCGAAACACACAGTTACCTTCATGCTCGCTCTGATTTCATATTCTCTTGTTATATGTTTACCGAGCGGGTATTGATTACTTCCGACACAATAGCACGCTCTAAATCTTCGTTCGTGTATCGGTAAACGAAGAAGCAAATTGAGGTGGAATGTACAAAGTCGTGAACTACCGTTCCGTAATACGATTATCTTCTCTTATCTGTCTTGCACTCCCATATTCCCATAATGAATCACCAATGTCGTATACTGGACACTGTGTTCTTATTACTATCAATTGTTTCTCGTAAAAATGTAGTATATATATCAAAACTGAACGGATATATGCTCAAAATTTAAAAAAAAAACTCTATCACGACTGATAAGGTGGACGCGTACGCCCAACTTTATCACAACATCAAATATGCGGAACAGACGCACTCGCCATTACAACATTTCATTCCACTGTCCCTTACGACAACCCGACGGAACGTAAGGAACATGCCGATACAAACAGTGTAGCCAACAAAGTAGTATGATATAGCGCCTCCATTTTCGATGAAAGGTGGATGGTGATGGACAACGTTTTAACTTAAAATAAGAAAGAAATGACATCAACGATACTTACCTTTTTTCACGAACTGTGCCATAATTTAGCCGTACTGTTCTTGAAACGGAGACACAAAACGATTCTTGTATAAAATGTTATACTTTTATCACACACTATTTCGCACTCTTATTTACACACTAACCATACCGAAATGGTTCACGTCCACCGATTCTTGTTCAAGTTTAAAACTTGAAGGCTTATCTTCAATCAGCACAAGTTTCATTGATTAGTTCTATTGCAATTATATGTATTAACGACGGAAATATAAATCTATAAGACAGAATTGAAAGAATATTTAACGATGTCATATACTATGAATGCTATCATTTGTATGTAAAGGTGCTGAACAATTCAACTTATTTACAATAGACGAATAACCAATACTATATTACTACGCAACGTTGACGTGTACCTCGTGTAAATTGTTTTTACAAATCCGTACAAAATTGTAATGAAAAATGCCTTCTTTACTTATAATATTACATATTCCACTGATGTGAAACGATAAGAAAGCTGGAATTCTCGATGGACCAGACGATTCGTCTTACACAATCTAAACCGTCACCTAGCCGAACCTTACGTAGATTTTGAAACGTCAAGTCCTACAGAAAATTTCTAGTGATTCAACCACTTTTTCATTACGTCATTATATTTCGATAGCACAACAGGACACAGGCTCTTTTAATTTCGCAAAAAGCAAGATGAAGTGGTTCGAAGGTAGCATCAACGAAGCAGTGGCAACATCAAAATCTAGGAAAGCAATTTTCGTCGTTTTTATTGAAGGTACATTTATAATGTTAGGTTAACCTGTGATTTGTCCTGATATTAAACGTTTTACCCTATAGTTCTTTAAAATGAAGTTCATGCATTTTCTTCCTTTATATCTTACACTAACAACTGCACTAATATTGCAAAACGATTCATTATAGAAATTATTTATAGGCAAGGATGACGCATCTGTACAATTTGCTGAAGCAATCAATGCCATGGAAGTTTCCAACCGACTGGAACAAGATGATTTTGTAGCAATAAGATTGGAAAGTGGATCCGAGACTTATGGCTTTTTTACTCAGATTTGTATCCTTTTGTATAATAAGCTTTTAATTTATCAAGTAGATAACTAAATTTTTATATCATGCTTTATAATTCAAGAATGAAAATTATGTATATCTCATCTTTAAAAAGTAAAAGTATAACAAAAGTTTAATTATTAATTTTACGTCATGTTTCATATAGATTCAACAAAAGATTTATATTTTCCTAAATGTTTACGATTAGACAAATGGGTATCTGTGCCATCTTTATTCCTTATTGGCGAAAATGGTGCACCTTTGGAAATTATTGCTGGCAATACAACAGCTGCTGATTTAGCTTCTAAAATTGACTTAGTATTAGCAAAAGTAGGAAAGAACAAAAATGCATCTACCAACTTAATAGATGCAGAACAGAAAACTACTGCAGACAGCAATATGACAGACTCTAATGTAAAGGTTGATGTAGATGAGAAAAATACCAATGCAATACAATCGAATGTGCAACACAATGAAGTACCACAAGTACCCCTGGTGCAAACTGTCTCAAACAGTGAGAGTAGTGACGTAATGAAAAGTAACATAAAAGAGGAACCGTCGACAAGTTTGAAAGCCAGTGGATCATCGGAATCGGTTACAGATACAACTGGAGCACCCAAGGAGCTAACAACAGAAGTATATAGTGAAATAATATAAATAATAATAATAAAACACATTAAACTATGTATCTTTTATATCCTTAGGAAAAAGTAGAAAGAGCACGGAAATTAATAGAATTACAGAAGAAACAACGCATAGAGGAGGAGGAGAAGAAAGAGAGAGAAAGAGAAATAGAACGACGTAAAGTTGGTCAAGATGTACAAAACTTGCGAAGAAAACAACAAGATTTAGAGATGAAGCAAGCTTATGAAGAAAGATTGAGGGAAAGAGCTGATGATGCTTTGGCTAGAGAAAGGATCTTGCAACAAATTGCTCAGGATAAAATAGAAAGAAAGCAAAGAGAATTAGCAAAACAACAGGTTTGTACGAGAAAACTATTTTTATTTAAATTGTTTGATTTATACTTATCCAATTTTATTAAATGTAGCAACAAGTAAAACCAACCATCAATCCACCGGAACCACCGGAATCGTCGTCACCAATGACAACAATCATCAGAATACAGTTTCGATTGCCATCCGGCAATCCTTACGTTGCGCACTTCGAACCAACAACTACCCTACGCGAGTTACGTACTTACGTTGTCCAGAACATCGATTTACCTTTCCGGCAATATGCAATGTCCACCTCTTTTCCGAGACGAGAATTAACGCACGAGGACGATGATAAATCTCTCATAGAATTGGAACTGGTTCCTACAGCAGTTATATTGATCTTGCCTCTAAAAACTGTAATTTTACCTCATTTGTTATAATAATTGTAGCCATAATATTGGTTTCATGTTCTTTAATGATTTGATTTGTGATTTCAGCCAAATGCTACGACAACCGTTACATCCGCACAAGATGTTGGTGTTGTACCACGATTCATTTGGTCTACTTTCGCAATTTTTTCAGCCGTTTATTATTATGTAATAGGCTACTTTACTGGTGGACGCAGAGATGTACCGAAACCACCGAGCAGCTCTGCTGAAAATAAAAATGCAGAAAATAATGCGAGTGGTGCGGTTGCATCAAATGTCCAGAGTACTGCTAGCACTTCAGGGTAGGTTTCATATTATAAAAGTATCTATTGTATTAAGTACAAATGTGAAAAAAATATTATTTGTTCTTCAGTTTGGTTAGAAGATACGTAGGCAATCGAGTAAGCACCACCATAAAAACTGAAGGAAACGTACATAGATTGCACTCAGGTGGAGAGGATAGTGATGAAAATAATACGTGGAACGGTAATTCAACGCAACAAATGTAGACTATTATAAATCGACGAAGTTCCAGCGGGTTTTACTGTTTCGCTAATCAGAATTTTAGATACGCAACAGATATATCTTCGATTACAAATATATTTTGTTAAACTTTTATACATTTTTGTCCTATCGATATCACAATCGATGGTCACGTTTTCACGGCTATGATTACGATGACAATTTATTTAAAGGATCAACAATTTGCAGTTACGAAGAGAAGTTTATCTGTGTCATATACTCAATGAGAAATATTCAATTATTTGCAATGCTGCGTTACTTCACATTATTGAAATCAATAATCTTACTAATCACTTTAATAAGTTAAAAATGATATAAGGACCAAACGCAGTCATCCAACTGCAATACGACAGATGAGCTGACATGAAGTCGATTTCGAATATATATCCCTATATTCGTAGTAAGAGTATCAAACTTATTGAAGGTCTTATTTTAGGTCTATCTTAGGCACGTGTATTCTCAGATTTATTTAAAACAAAAATTATTTTATTATATCATGTTAATCAAAGTTACTGTATTTTCGGATAAGAATTGTGTTAAGAATAGCAGTCACACACATACACACAACTAATCTTTTATTCTATAACAAGAAATATGAATTGTACTGGTTAGATGGCTTTCATTCTGTTAATATATAAATAAATAAAAAATAAAAAAAATTGCACAAATTGGTTTTTATCCTGTCATATAAATACGTTAAGGCAATTGGTGGTTCCGCGAAGCGCAAAATTAATGACGCCAACTAACAGGTGAGATGATATAAAGCAGTTTATTACACCAGTGAAAACACGAAATCGTGACATGCAATTTTTCATCTTGGCGAAACATGATTCCAAAAATATGTTCAAGGCGAGAGGAAACAAACGCCAAAGAAATGTCTGGACCGTCTTGTTTTACTTGCGGTAGAGACGCTCGGTGGAATCGATAATTTACATCCACCTACCCACTTCGGTTCTGTCGATTGCGGTACCAATTAACCGTAAAATTGACAAAGATCTTGGCTGAGTCCCTTTGAAAGTTTCAACTTTCTGACAATATAATATATTGCAGAACCTGCGGGAGGAGTGTCGCTTGGGAAACGTGATCTCACCGACACACCTACTAGTCTAACTAGTCCTTTCAACAGTTTTCTGTCTACCTTGTACGAACTAATGCGCCTACCACGTGCTAAACTTTAGGATTCGACAATATCCTACTCTTACATTGTCCGTATTACAGTAGATTGAGAAAAATAAACTACACGTATGAAACGCGGAGCGCGCAGATTTTAATCGGAATTTAACCCACGCCGCATCTGATTTATTTAGGAGAATTACAACTTGGCCAGCAGAAGTTTGAAACAAATTTCTGCAGTGTACTTTGCTCGTTCGCATAATCGCAGCCAAGTTTCACATCTGTCAACAATTCTTGTATCATTCTATCATTCTATCATCGTCTTGTTGATACTACCGATTGTGCGTCTAATAATCTCATTAAACGTATGCCCGATTACACATTGGCCTCGTCGTATAAATGACAAACTTATAGCATCGCGAGGTTTTATATGAAACTACAGGAATTTAGGTGATGCAGACCTGTCCTGAATAATCTAATAATACATTTAAGCAATCTAGTTTTTCATCTTATTTAAACTGCGAGCTTATAAGCGTGCTAGTTATGCAATGATTTTCTATATTTTCAATACTTTCAAATACTTTTATTTTTATTGTTATGGTAAATGTCCTTTTAATTACCGAATCAGTTAGAAGATATTAAAATGTGTGATGCATTTTATTTGAAATCGAGACTATTTTTTATGGATCATATACGTATTCTTAAATACGTATTCAACGCAAGAGCAGTAGGCGGAAAATTGATATCGAATCACACTCGCTCTCTGTCAAGAGGATTATTAAATAGCGTTTCATGGCGGTGACAGAAATTTATGGATACCTCATTACCACCGTTTAGTGACTGCTACCGTCTCGCTGTACGAGATCATTAGGGGCTCCTTCCAGAAACGCACGTGCGTTTGCCAAGAAACGCCCAAAGTTACTTGGGATTGGTTAAATACAGAATGACGTTATGAGCACGTGTCTTTTGGACACCGCCTCGAAGAACGAAGAATTTGACTTGGCTGCCAAAAAAAATATTGTTGGACATCGCGAGCAACCCCGACAAACAGTCGCTGGTTTCGGCTCCGCACCCGCGAACGGATCACAGGTTGAATGGTTTGAATCGATTTTGTAGTTGCCGCTTCACTAATCATGTAATTGAACTTACGATCTAATAAAATTCAACGCGTGAACTTATTTAAGTATGGGAATCATCGCCAAAGACACGATAGTGATGCCGCAGTGTTCATCATAGTGAAGAAACGTGCAGTGAATTTTAAAGGACTCGCTGTTAAAAAATCATTGAATGTTAATGGACTACAAATAGTCAATTGATTCGACTATTCTATTATTAGAATACCGAATGGTATTTAGATTTAGAAGTTAAGTATTTAAGGACTAAAAGAGTTTAGAGAATTATGTCGGAAGAACGTGCAAAAATGGTAGAAGTAATTAAAGAATCGACGGAATTGGTCGAGAGTCCAAAAGTATCTTCGTTTAGTATCGAAAGTCTTCTAGCGCCGAGCAAGAAAACCGTCGAAGAAGAAATTCGCATGCCAATCCAGACCGAAGTGTATCTGCACGGTCATGAATGTAAGTATAAATAAATATCTTCTTCTCTACGAAGAATAAAGTACCTATGAGAGAAAGGGATTTCCAAAATTAATTTAAACAGCAAATGATTCGGAAGGACGGAAACTGGTAGTACCTGATTCTTCCATGTCTATGATAGAAGAAATCGAATTCGACGATGCTGACGTGGTTTGTTCTACCTCGCCAGAACCAGAAATGTGCTACGGTAAGTTAAATAGAAATCTTTAAGAGAATAATATTAATAAAGAAAGGAAATAAATTTCTGTCCATAATAAAGACAAATTAAATTATGCGAAAATGAATTATTAGAGAAGATAAAACAGCTTCTAATAGTGGAACAACATAAAATTTTTATGGCAATTTCTATTACGTGATTCTTATAGAGTTTCTCATACTAGAAACAAATCTTATCATGTACCGTTTCTGAAATATTACAGTTTTTGCAAAATTGCATGATTTTGGTATTGCATGAAAACTAATTGTAAGAGCGCATGAAAGTTTATTTTTTAATTAACAGATAGAGGAGACTTTTCATAATATATCCATATAAATCATATTTTTCTTCTATTCTTTAATAGTTATATTTAATTGTTAAAATTTGAAAAAGAGCTGATGCGAGTATTTTACACATATTATTTTTATATTTATGTGAAAATCCCTTTATGGATCAGAAACTTGCTACACAGTATTGGATTCTAGACATTTCTGATAAAGAAACCATCTCTTTCTGATAAAGAAACATCTAATATCGAACAAGATACCAGTTTCTGTTACTAAAATTTTTAAGCCATTCCTTATTCATAGGATTCTTATTAACTAAAGTGCGTATGAATGCAGAATATTGCAAACGTTACGATGTTAAACACGGAGGATCAAAAGATTTATTTTGTGTCTTACACATTCGCCGTTATTACACGATTTGTAATAACACGTAATTGTTCCCACATAATTCGTGTATTGTTACAAACGTGAACGGGAGTGATTGTTACAGAATTCAGACACTTACTTGACTCGGTAACGAATTCGTAAGTTCACGCGGAGTGCCGTTAACCGTGAGTTTGATCCATTACTTCCTGCAGGGTCCACGCCCACTCAATGTTCCTGCTCCTCGTCCACTATTTATCTGTCTCCTGCTAATTCTGCCATGGAAATGCTGCAAACTGTGCCTTCGCGTCTGTACCTAGCACAGAATGAAAAGCAACACCGATGAAGTTTATCAGTGTGTTTCACGAGTTAATTCTCGAGTCGATTTTCATTTAAGCACTGAATAAGAGATTCGTAGTCAAACTCCAGTTCCGTCTCATTTCTATATGATTTTCGATCGTTACTATCATATAAAATCACATTAAACTTCTCTACGATTCATGTACTGTAATGTGAATACATGCTATAATGATACGTGAGTACATGAAAGACTGCAATGTCTGTCTCCATTTAAATTCACTCGGTCACAAGATTCGATTCTTGACGACTAATTTCTACCAAGGATCCACGCCTTATGTGATTTATACAATACAGCGGTACGTGATAAATTGGAGATCTAAGGGAAGGACAATTCTACTTTACGCCGTGCGCTCAGACTGAGATAAGTATGCGGGACGACGAGTCCAACTACAAAGCCGTCAACGCGTCGCGTAAATCTTTGCAAAAACAGCCTCGTGTAAATCGTCCAAAAGCTGCCCAGCTTTCGTAAAGATCTACTTTTTTTTTAAGACGTTATCATCATTAAATTTACGACCTGATTCAACGACTACGATGTTTGAATTCTTACAATTAGCACGACTCGCAATATCTTTCATTGAAGTCTCCGTATATTTTCATTACTTTCATAGAGCAGTCATCCTAGATCATAACAAAAGCTCTAGCCATCTATCTATCTTCAAGTGGCCAATCGGTAGAACTCACAGGTACGGATTAATTATTCAACTAGTTGGCCACGAGTGTGAAATCGTGCAACGCCGAACGAATGAAAATTAGCTACGCTTTATCGCGCATTTCTACTCGTGCTCTCGCCATTCATCACCGAATAATTAGGAGACAAGTTCACCGTGGCTCGCGGCAATTAGGTAAACTAGAAGGCGTGGTGTTCTATTTCGGCAACGCTCACGGTGCTCCCCGTCGGGCTTCTCTGCACGCTTCTTCATGTTTTAAGCTCCTTTTTGCACCGTTGCCTTCCACGTCAACCCTTTCTTCCTTCCTCCTCTCCTTCTTCGGAGCTCGTTCGTCAATGCAACCGAGTCAGAAAGTCGACGACAAATGAGCCGCGCGAGAGAACCGAACCCTCCGAAAATATTTTCCACGTCCGCTCCGTTGGGAAGCTTTCAGAAGAAAATTTCGTTGGACCTAAATTGTCTATAAATGATCTAATCGTTTCCTCGGAGTAACGAACAGACAAAGAGAACTTCTACCCCCTTTTGCATTGTCCGAAAGGCATTAAGCTAATGTAACAGATGAAACCATCAAAATCTAAAATGTAAACACGGGCAACTTGTGCAGTTTGATATTATTATCTACGGATAATATTTCTCGGCGATTCAAGTTGGAATCCTTCTTGAAATTTACACGTGCACAAGCGTGCACGTCGCACGACATGGTTCACGTCGAGTGAATTAGAGGCGGTCCGGTTTTAGCCGTCGACTCTGTAGTACCCGGGGTTGAAGAGGAGCCCCGAAAAACGCGCGAGAAACGCGACAATTACGTCGCCATCTGACAATTAGTAGCCAGTAAACGACGCTCTGCGGTACCGGTAACCGCGCCCCAAATACTTTTTTCGGGATATTTATTGCATCCCCGACCGCAACGGCCGCTATAGCCTGTTCATTCTCTTCGTGACCGAAGAAGCTCTTCTCATCGATTTATCGACACTAAAATAACCGATGCTCCTTGCATTCGATGCCACGATAGACGAGCTCTCCTCATACTATACGTTCTACGTTCACTACTTCAAATATTTTGTTTCACTGATGGAAAATAAATTTTTTTATAGATCATTAAATCATAGAGAAAACCATGAGAGAAATGATATTTCATTATTGGGAGAATAAGTAATAATTCTAGACTTAAAGCAGGAGAATGGGTCAGTTTATATAGTTCGCTTGTTTATCTTTCGGAGAATTCATTTACATACATTTTTTATGAAACAGGGATATTTAGAATTAATTATTCTTCTTAATGTAAAAAAATTGACTGCGTTACCACTTTTCGAAGTAACACTCATATATTCAACAGCGGTGTGTCGCGCTGCCACAGTTTTTCGTCGGATGACGAATGGGCAGATAATTAGAAGATGATCCCTGCAGCTTAAAACGCGGTCCTGTTACCAGTCGACTAAAAGAGACCCCAAAGACATTCCTCATGAGTAGAGGCGCGACGTCTTGTACCGACGGCTTGTAAGCTTGGGATAAATATAAATATAAACAACTTCGACGGGCAAAAAGGTTACGAGATTGATGAGGAAAGAAATTTTACGAGGGTAATTGGGCTTGGTCGGGTTAAAAAGAAGCCGCTGTTTGCATCGTTCACGGTCTCTGTCTCGTCTAAACACAATGAAAATAAGAGTAGACTCCGTCACAGTACATAAAACATCGTTTTGAACTTAATGATACACTTCTGTCAGTGTGTCGATTGTTTGAGTGAGGTGGATTCTCTTTGATTAAACGCCGAATAGAATGTTACATACATATACTTTATAACTTCGTTCTTTAATCTCTTGTGGCACGCGTGTTATTAGCAGTCACTTAATTACGACGCGTTTTCATTCCATTTAACCGCGTTGACTACAGTCGCGCAATTATTCGATAATTACACGATAAGGAAACGTTGTTTAATTATCATTCCCTGTTGATGTATACTTGGAAAGGGTGTATGTTGAATAATCTTTTCTACGGTCTTATCAGAGGCGTGTACTAGCAGCAGCGGTGCCAATTCCACGACAGGTGTGGATGGAGAGATTCAAGAGAAAAGTGACAACGCCATTAGCGATGATGAAAGAAAGAAGAGGCCTCGCACAGCGTTCACCGCAGCGCAGATTAAGTCTCTGGAAGCGGAATTCGAGAGGAACAAATACCTGAGCGTGGCGAAAAGGCTGCAGCTTAGCAAGAGTCTCAAGCTAACCGAAACTCAGGTACACTAATTTTAATATTCATTATAACATAAAATTGTCGTTTCCTATAGGGGAGAAAAATGAAGCAGATTTTGCGGAAGTCGTTTTGAGTAAGGCGCGCTGTACTCAATAAATTGCGATGACGTTTGTGACTTCCGTAGTCTAGGGCACCTGAAATAGTTTAAGTAGCTTCTTGTACCCCGAGTTTCTCAAAATCAACCAAGTACTGAATTATGACCCCGGAGACTGCCACATGTGTAGGCGCCACGTCGTGGCGCCATGGCGAGAGATCGCCCTTTAGGACCAATTAGCACTTATACGCCCTTTCTTCTTGTGAAAAGAAAGGGAGTCCACAAGAACGCAAAATCATCTCTCGTTCCTTTCACAGAAACCTTTAATTAATCGTTGTACTTCATATGAATTGCATTTTATTTTGGAATTTGATTCCTTTTGTATCCAAAACACGTCTCGTTTGCCTATTTCTCATGTAATTTGGTATCCTGTTTCTAATATTATCCTCGAAATCCAAAGTGTTTGGCTTTCAACGATCTTCGAGTAATTCTCCTCTTAACTGCGTAGTGTTGCAGAATGGATTGCGACAGTTACATAATTCTACCATTTACTTTATAATATAGGACGTGTTGCACCGCTTTAAACTAATTAATTTATTAGAATAGTCCAGATATTTTCCGTTCGGTTGAGTTGCGCATATTGCAATCATACAAACGTGCAATGTGCGCGAGGTGCAGTAATTGCCAGAGGAGTAGAAATATCACGGGAACAGCATGAACGAGACAGATAATTATCTTTCGCGATCACAGCAAAAGGGGAAGAATGATCAGGCGTCGGATCAGAGGGAAGAAGGAGACATGTCGTGGCGCGGACGTAACTGTCACAATATTTCTCGTAGTTAACGACCCAGCTACGGGTGTTCCCTTCTCCTACTCTGTTCCTCTCCGAATCGTCAGTACGTTTCCAGCATAGCACAAGAACGCGATACTCCGGGACAACGGTTGCTGCGACGCGACGGACCGCAGAGGCGTCGATTTTTTAATTAGGATATATTCCGCTTTGTGTGTTCTGAATCCGGTTTTGGTATTCGACACTAAAAAGTTTCCCAAAGCTATCATGCCCAAGATGCTGACATCATTTTTTTCCGCATCGCTTCACTTTTTCTCACACCTACTCCGGATCCTACTTGATCCATTTCTTTCTTGACTAGCGCTTGAGATTATTAACCAGTTGCACCAGAAAGACGTGCCACGTATAAATGTTTATGTTTTAAATTCGCCAAGTACACCGCGTTGAGTTATAATGAACCGTTTGGGCACGCGTATCTGAATTTGCTGCCAACGCAAGTAGTCAAGCAATTTTTTGAGCTTACAATTTCTACAGAATTTTTGGGTTGTCGTAATTGAAAATATACAGTTATTATAATAAAAATTAGCTTGCAGAGCATGCTACTTAACATTTATTGACATACTGAATTTCAACAGCTTCGGTGGCGCAGTTCGGCAGCGCGTAAGTCTCATAATCTTAAGGTCGTGAGTTCGATCCTCACCCGGAGCAATAACTTTTGCCTTTTCTATTTATTGTCGATACTAGCAGCTTCATACCCTTTAATTCTCATTTTTGTTGTGCATTCGTTAATGTAGTAGTGTCATTATTATTATTTGGTATTTTAATTTTATTGCCTTAGTTTGTAAGTTTTTACTCTTTATAATGATAATTATTAACTGGTATATTACTGGTATTTCTTTTAATAGTGGACACAGATTGATTTACTTTTAAACTTTGTTTTCGTGCAGATTAAAATCTGGTTTCAAAACAGACGCACTAAATGGAAGAGGAAATACACAAATGATGTGGAACTGTTGGCACAACAATATTATTCCAGCTTAGGAATCCCTGCACCCCGACCAATTTTTGTCGAGGATCGTCTTTGGTAAATAACAATTAGATCTTTGCTTTCGCGCGAGTTAGATATTAGTTAATAGAAAAAATTTTTGATAGGTTTTTTAACTACCCAGCGCAGTTACAACCAGGAGCACCGATTTTCCCTCAGCATTTAGCAACTGTTCCTATGCCGCCAGCTTTGCCTATTGTACAACCATTGCCAAGCAGCTTAACAATGGGTCAACAAACTTCGATTTTTCAAAATATTCCTGGAAGTAGTTCAACGTATCACCTAAACCAAAGATTGGATTTCAGGCACCAAGATTCTTAAATATAAAGAAGACTTTAATAAATCTAAGATTTTTCTAAATCGTATGGTGCACTATGGGTGCAAATTCGTGTTGAACGAAAATAAATCTGAAGCAATAATTTTGAAATGCAATGTTAATGACTGTTCAAAAGAGGGAATATATATGTACAAATATGATTTGTTGGAAAATAATACTTCAATTCACACGCGTTATCGCTGGCCGAATCGGCCACATTTGCATGTATATTGCGTGACGAAGAACGCATCGAAATAGAATGAGATAGAGCATTACGCGCTGGCGTAAATTCTGGCGGGGATCGGGGAATGGATCCCCGTTGTTGTATGTGTAGATATCTATCCAACGAATAATTTCGATACGATGGATGATTAAGTTAATATATGTAACTAAATTCTTATGATCGCAAGAAATAATGTTAAATATAGTTTCTATCAAATATACCAATCAAATTAGATATAATATTTATAATCAATCATCGGTAGGTGTGTAAAAAACGCAAGAAGAAAAGATACATTTTATATTTGCATTTATTGTAGGGAGTATATACAGTAATTTTTGTAACAGTCTTCTTGTTTTTATTATAAAACTAACAAATATATTTTCAACTTTAAACAATATAAAATACATTATTCTTATATTAGAAAACTGGGTTGAAAACAATAAAGTATTTATTGACAGTTTAATAGAACTGAGAATGTATTTATTTCTAAACTGGCGGAGATAGAATTTTATTAATACCTAAAATTTTGTCATCATGCGCTGCTTGATCCTGTAGAATTTTAGCATATTTTTCATTATCTTGTAAATCTTCCTCGTCCAACATTTCTTGCATTCTCTGTTTGTAGCTGTAATGATAAAAAATGCCGTATTAAAGTGTATCTTACCCAGGCAAGATTTATTGCTGTAAAGTTATGTCATATTTTACTTACATTTCACTATCAGGATTGTTTTCCTGATTTCTACATTTTTCTAGCTTCTTTTCCAAAGCCCTTACCACTTCCCTTGAAGGAGATTCTACACATTTAGCCATAGACCTTATTTCTAAAATACACATATTAAAAATTCGTTACTATCATAGAAATATCTGTAAGTACAATGAATAAAAGGAAACTTGTTTACTTCTCACTGCTTCAATTATGCATCCTAAATGCTCTTTAGAGAACAAGATATCAGTTACGTAATTGTCCAGATTTGCAGAGGCTCTAGATGCAGCATGCAATGTTGCAGCCAGCGCAACTTGGCTTGGAGCATATAACAAAACGCTATCAGTCAGAAATACTCTCTCCAAAAATTCATCAATGTATGGCCTCAATCTTTCTGGATTTTCTAAAGAGGTATATCTCGTCTAAAAGTGTACATATTGTATGTATTAAAAAAATTTGATTAAATGAACGTTTATACAAGGGTATTTATAATATACCTTGATATCTATCATCAATCCTTCCACAGGTCTAAATGGATTATGCACTGTTAAATTATAATTTAACTGTTGCATAAGCAGCAACTCATTATTAAGTATAATATCAGATGCCTTTTCTCTGTCACCTTTTATGTTAGCAACGAACTGATATATAGAAACGTTAAATTCTTCTACCTAAAATAATAAAGTACTCTGTCAGACTGATGTAGAAAAATTTATAGATGAGTCGACTTTGAAAAATAAAAATTACCTTACAAGCCAAGTAAACGCATGTGACTAAAATTTCTTTGGGATGATAGTCCATAACACTGTTCCTAAGATAGAACCTTTTGAAATAATGCAATGCAGTTGCTACAGTAGCACGTGGCATTGTAGGAGTAAAGCGACGACAGAAATCCCTTAATTGTAATTCATAAAAACGAAGTAGTGTACGTTCTTCTGTATGAGACAAAAAATGTTCCTCCCTTTCCTCTGCCTTTTGGAAATATAAATTTCACATTATATTACATAACAAGACAATAAATATGATTATTCGCTACAATGTATGCGAACGTTAATATCATTTAAGAAGCTACATAATAAAGGATATTTAAGAAGTTTCATAACAAAGGATGAAATACATATATAACCTGTAAATTCTCGGAGTTAAACAGAGTATTGTAACGTGTTATAATGATGAGAAGCATCATTAAAATACACGAACAAATTGAAAACTGATATACATAGTAATATTGATTATTTATCATTAAAAGTAGCTGATTTACCGTCATATTCACACCGTGCCTTTGAATGAACTCAGCGTTTGTTTTCTCCCTTAACTCAGTTAAATCATTTTCATCACTAAACATCCAATAACGTCTCTGTGAACTTTGCGGAAACATTATTATTCTCTCTCGAAACTCTAACAATTGTATTTAGTAACAAAATATAAAATTGACGCTTGCACTGTTCGCGCGATAGACACAAATGTAAATTGTTGGATTACTCAAGACGTTCATGTTTGTGTGGTAAAGAGGGCAGCATTAGATGCATTTTGGGCGAGCTTACGTCGATACCGTAGTCGATACAATCAAAAACTACGAAAGTATTACAGTGTTCGCGGGGAAAGTTTAGTTCGCGAAGAAATAAAAAAGTACTTCTGTCTTAAACGAACACTGTTTGATACTTTTCTAAATTAAGAGAAGTAGAAATATTTTATTAGCGGTAAAGATAGCGTCGTATAGCAAACTATCGTCGCAATTATTATTTTTCTTAGATTAAAATAATAGCTAAGAATGTAACTCATTCTTTTTCATTTTTGAAATTATATTGAACGCTTATACATTTATGCCATTTTTCATTTGTAATACAAGAAAAAATAAGGAATAAATACTTAATTAAAAGTTCTGCAATACAATATATCAATGTTATAATATTAAAAACATACAGCTGGGTGGATATAACAGTGGTTTAAAATTTTCGGTAAAGTGGATCGTGTTTGTACTTACATACGCGTCAGTAATAAACATGATCGGCGAATGGTTGATAAAGGGTCGGTGGGGTTGGGGATCCAATTTTAATATGTACGCCCCCGCAAGCGGTTGCACGTCGGATCTGAGGAGGCGTTTCTACGACCCTTTGTCAACCGATGACGCCGCTGCATCTTATCACGATCAAGGCTTGGGATCTCCCATTCTGACTCTCTTCCACCTCGTTCAGCCCTCGAGGCCATCCCGGTGCTGCCGCTTGTTCAAGCAAAGACGTTGCCTCGACGTCGCGGTGGCTATAACTTTTTACCTTTTTGTACATTGATTTATGTTTCTTTATGCTGTGCGACGATACGTCGTCGTCGTGTGGTACAGTGCGCGGATCTCTTAAAATTTACAGAAGTTAATCTCAACGATCTGAGATGTCAGATAAGGAAACTGTCTCTGAAATTTTATCCCCGGAAATAAAAAATGAATTCTTACATAAATAACGAAGTCAGTACGGAATACACCATGCGTGAAACATGTGTACCTACCCCTATAAATCACACAGACAGTCCGTAGTTGGAAGCAATTTTCAGTTTCCACGACTGATTCGTTACTACTTAAGAAGTTTAATTTCCGACGAAATCCATGCGAAACGATACGAAAGTGGAGTACATCCGCTATTAATCTAATATTGCGGTTGCCACCGCCCTCGACTTCGCGTGCTGCGCTCTTCCGCATCGAAGCTTGCTCCCTTCGTACAAATACAAACACTAACACGCTGCTATTGTGGGCATTCGGATATTGTAGTATTCCGTACTCGTACGTGAACACCAAGAAAAGGAGGATCAATTGGATCAACTTACCAGCGACGATAATGCAAAATCAATGTCTGACACAGCGTACGAGGTGTGACGGTTAAAGTGGATTACATCTGCATTCTTACTCACCCCAATGATTCATGAAGAACTTTTTAGTAAATGAAAATTTTGTACCGCATACGACCACTTTCTCATACGAGACTTCGTAATCACGAAGTCGTCTTATCAAACAATGCATACCTACGCGTATGGATGTCATACATAAATTCCATTTTGTATGCGTGACCCACTGTATCGCATGACCGCTGGCATGTCGTGGTATCGTCGTCGGTTAACCCGCAAAAAGCGGTATCACGCCTGCCTCTAACACTCTACGTCTGATCGGTCGCGTACTTTGCACGCAAGCCTTCGGCGACCGAAATCTTCCCATATGCCGTTCATCGCAGTAAACGTCCTGTTTGCATATCACATGCAGTTACTGATCGTTATTCTCCCGTACAAAAAAATAGTCATAATCTGACTAGCTGCATGTACGAAACAGAAAAAAAAGACTCTAAGATGCATAGTATATTGATTAAGGATGTATTGGCTCTACAGTCAATCCCAAAAGTTTATGCACTTTAGAAACGCATTTTTTAAAAAGAAACCAGACGTCGGAAGAACATTGCTAATAATAAACAACAAAAAAAATTTTTCGATTTTTCCGAGATTTTTCCAAGGGGTACCCCTTCAATTTCTTCCAAATTTTCGTTTTTGGCCAATAACTCCCAAACCGTTGGACATACGGAAAAATTGCATCAGAACTTTCTTGTAGAGGACGACGAGAGCTATAATTTCCATGTAAAAATTTTTCGCTAGCATTAATATTTAACGAGTTATTGACGAAAAACGAAAAAACAGTTTTTTGCAAATTACTCGTTGACCA